CGTTCTGTATGTAAACAAGATTGTAAGTTCCTGTTTCAGCTAATAACTTGATAGTTTACTTTTAGATTTGCTTGATAAAAGAGTCACTCATGGTTCTACAGTTATTAGTTATATGAATGACCAATTTGCTCTTTGTTAAAACGTTATGGATTGATTTGAAGAATTCCTAAAACTAACGAACAGATTATGATTGAATATTAAATGTACTATGGAGATAGAAAGTGATGATGAGCCACCGGTTATAGATTATTAAAGCAAACAGTAAGTTTTGTGGAGATGCTTATAGGAAACCTATGCGCACGAATCTCCTCATTCTTTTATATTCATGCAATTTGGGTCGGAATAAATATTCTGAAACCGATGCAAATAAGAGGTCTGCGCCTAGCGGATGAAGACCAAATAACCACGAAAGTGGTGGATTTAAGGGTATAATAATTCAAAATAATTATGCATTAAAAGTAATGGAAAATCTATTTTCAATACTCATAAATAGAAAAAAGGAAAAATTGATAAGCAGAGCGAAATAGGCAAATAAATAAATCTGATCGGCTACTCAATTTGCTTTCACGTTCTTTGGAGTAAAGGTAAGCGAATTGCTGAGGAACTGGGACATTCGAGCAAGGCGTAAAGGGAGACTAAAGCTGACTTCGGTCATTTTCGGATTTTTTTCTAATTCATAGTATTGAAAGGTTTTGTACTCATGTGGTAGTGTCTAAGTATGAAAGTTCTACCGATCTATTCGGAAGAGATTATCTTAACATAAAACCGCCTGTAAGGGTTGATTACTTTCTAAACCTGATTTGGCAGAACATGTAACTCATATGGGACGTGTGATAAAATGATGAAAACAATGTATCTTAGGGGAATTCCCATTAAGATGTATGGTTTGAAATCTTGTAGCAATAAACAAAACAAGAGTTTAAAATCTAAGTATTTATGACCATTGGATAGGTTTAGAAAGAGAGCATGATAAATGAAACAGGAAGAAGCTATGAGCAGGATGAGGCCTGGATAATCTTGAGTCTGATTAAGCCTATCATACATCTTATGACTTCATTGATGTTGTAGGATGGCGTGCCATGGAAATCTTCACAAACTACTCCTCTTTTAAGTGAAATAGTTCACGAGGCTCTTCCAACCAAATTTTCCTTCGAAATGAAATCTAGAGTCTATCAATTTCCAATAAAATGGGCCTATAAAATAGGCTCAAATATTGTCGTAATCAACCTCCCTATAAATTCATATTAAATGCTTGACCATAAAATAAAATAATTTATAAACACTTGTCAATTTTTATATATAAAATAAAATTCATTTTTTTATTGACCCTCTCGACATCATTTCTGATCAATGGCCAAGACAGACTATATGTTGAGGCCTGAAAGAAGTATCCTCTTCGTTTTTTCGACTAAAACCTCCTTATTGATGAAAACCAAACCAACGTATTTGTATTGTAGGCTTAAAATAAATTCTTTGTCGCGCCTACCCGACTTGAGAGCCGGACTTGGGCTCAGTTAAGCAGGAAGGTGGATAGACTCAACAACTTTGTGCGGTTGCTTGGACGGTATGTGGGCATGAAACCAACGCAATTTACTGATTTGTCTCCAGCTGCCCTCTTATGCGTGGGCTTTAGGCTACATTTACTCAGGGCATACAGTTAAGGAACAGCTTTTGCCCCCCTTCTTGGAATAGAGACTACACTAAATTCTTTATTTCCTGCCCTCCACCTAGAAGATAAATGAAGAAAGAGGCCTCCTTCACACAATTACAATCTGGTGGTTATATATAAGCACACACGAAATAATGTTGCATATTTTGAATACATGCTTCCGCAATATTGGTTTAACGTCACTTTTTGAAAGAGAATTCTGAAAAGGCTGGCGGATGCTGCAATGGAAGGAATAGCAGAAGACAAACTTATGGCGCTCAAGAGGGGAATTGAGGTCAGCTGGGAACTGATTACATCTGCAGGTAGTCTTATACAGACATTTGGTACTTTTTTGATTACAGCCTGTTGGAAAATACTGAAACGAAAGAATGGTCTCCTCTTTAGACGTACATTTTCACAAGTTAGATCTGCTCCCTATACTTCTGGCTCATGTGGCCTGATGCTGTTGCTGCTCTTTGTCTCCACTACTCTTTTAGCCCTTTCGGCTGAAGGCGTTGGAAATTACCGTCGGTCGAAGAACAAAAACAAGACGAATCTGTTTACTGATGTTTATGAGGTAATGAAGCATCGAAAACCGCATAATTCTATTGACTTTGCTGCCTATAAAGACTGGCCGGCGAGCTATTTACACTACAACCCAGGATTCACTAGAGACTTTCTGATTCCAGGATTCAATCTAAGCGATTTTTTTACCTTTTACGCTCATATTATGCAAGAAAATCTTTCGGATGTTTTACCAATACTCAACACAGAAACGTTTCTTTCTAAGAGATTATGGTTTGAAAGAGTTATGCTAAAGAGAAATGAAACAAGCTCTACTACGAGGAGTTTGTTGAATGCTGGCAAAAATTCATTAATGAGAGAATATATGAAAATGAAAACAACCGTGAAATAAGTAAAACACACCCATGACTTCACCATGAAAAGGGTAAATGTTTAATTAAAAGACCAATTCAATTATTTCCATATCGAATCTCCTTCGGTATTTAATGTATATTAAATCAGAATTTCTCACATTTTAATCAGGTCATTTAACTTTGTTTATCCGCCCTTTTGGATCTAAATAAAATATAGACTATTACTCACAAACGTTAATTTTCTTTATTAAATTATTATTTACTTATATAAACTAGGTTATAGACGATACTATGTAAACTTATCACAATTGCTTTGAAAAAAAAGGAAATAATTTAAATGCGTCTTGAGAACAAAACAGTCTAACAAAAGAGAAATTATTATTGATATTATTATTTCAATGACTGAATAGTAAAACCTTTTCATGATACTGACTTCAAAAACTAGCTTTTAACCGTCATTTGTTGGCCAAACTATTTTTAAACAAATGGCAAAATTAAATTTTGTTGAGCTTCTCATAAACAGATGCAAGACAATGATGAAACTAAAGCAGATGGAATATCCAAAAATGCATTCCTGTCATAATAAACCTCATTAGTGAGTTTCTTAAGTTTGATTTCATCGACA